TTGGAAACCAAACCCTGAAACCACCCCAAAATTAGAGGGTGCACTCCTGATGAAACAAGTACATGGAGAGCATCTTTGATCATTTAACTTTTAATATTTGATATTTTTACTCAGTTTGCTGACTCTTGATTAATTTGCATAATACTGTATTTTAAGGTATGTTTTATAGTCTATACACTTTTAGACCTTATGGTCATCTATGCCTTCACTGTCAGGTGACTGCCAAATAACAAAATGTAAGTTCAAATAATCAGGTCACTGAAGAAAACTGTCAGAGAGACAGTGAAACCTATGAAATAGCCAACCAGAGACTGAAATGTTGCCTTAAAATTACTAATATTAATCATTAAGCAAATACTTAATATCCTAGCCTTGTTAAAGCATTCATTACACTTATTCCATAACAAAACAAAAAGAAAAATAATTTGAAAATAAATAAAATTCCACAATCAGGATTAATCATAAAAGCCAGGCAGCTTCCCTACATTAATCCCATTGAAAGCAAAAAATACAAATATGAAAGAAATTATGCTTAAAAAATTACAACATTGAAATTGAATATTACAAAAAATGTGTTGCCAAGATTTTATGAGAAATTTGTAATGAATCACTCTTCCTCTCTTTAAGATTAATAATAGGCCTGTGGAAATAAGATCCTATAGATAAGAAATTAAAATTTTACCATGAAGTCTGAATCCTGTCGCTATAACGATAATATCTGGTGAACAGGTGGATCCTTATATCAGACTTCTTTGACAACAGAGCAGTAACTGAATGCACTGCTTACTTTAGATTGGAGTCATTGTTGCAAAACGGTTAAACTTTGGGAATTCATTCCACTTTGTAGGGCTGCCCAGTGGCTGTCTCTAATGGATCATCAAATCCTCATTAAGAGTGCACCCTCAATTAAGCCCAGTACTTAAAACCTAATATGTCATCCTCAATACGCAAAGACAATTCAACTTTAATCACCTCTGGTGAGGTGCAGTGGGCTTTTGGTTTTGGGCATCAAAATAGAGATGAATTGGTCCCACAAAACATCTTTGAGTCAGCGGCTGTTGTTATGGTTATTGAAGTGTGCTATGCTGCATAGTATGTGCAGTGGTGTTGATCAATCATACAGTAATTTTTAGGCATATGTGGTAGTAACCAACCACAGCTGACATGACCCAATTACTGTATATAGTATCTTGACAGTTTTATGATTCAATATGGCTCAATTTTGATATTTATAATTTGTTTTAATTTAATATCATATTCATTCAATTACAGTTATTTGAATATATATAATTGTTAGATTTCATTTAAATAGAATCACTAAATATTTATAAATTTACAGATAAAATACATAAAAATAAGATGTATACACAGTTTAGAGTATAACAGACTTAACTGACTCTACTGTACTGTGAACAACACAAAATAAATGCCTATGAGATAAAAAAAAATAATTAGGTATACAGCCATATTTAGGGCAGGAAATAAGTAACTGTATTATATTAAATAAATATAAAAAATGTTTGTATACTATATTCCAACCTCTGAAATACAAACCCACATTCCTGAATGGAATGTGTGATAATAGTCCGCTCAGGGGTATCTTGGAATAGGCCCCATGTGACTTTTTTTTTTCATTCTTCTACCATTTCCAATTATTATTTGACAACCACTCCATCTTCATAAAAGCTAAAAATTGGTTTAAAATCAATCTATTAAAAGTGGTTAACACTTTGGAATAAAAAAAGTTTCTTTTAACTAAGTGAAAGCTTTTTGTGGTTGTGATAAGTTACAAGTCAAGACACGTTGATTATATTTGTGTTAAGTTTTCGAAGGGTGTACTTATGAAGGGTTTCTATTATCATAGTTATCTTGATGGGCTAGAGTTGATGTTGTTGTCAAGAGAACTCAACTGTCATGAAAAGTTATAACAAACACCTGTTATATTCTTTATTTCATTTAAAATGTTTCAAACAAACAAATGACAAGTAAGTAGGTTTAAAGTCAATTTTGTTTGTCACAGAAAATAGAAAGAAATGCATTTACTAGATTGATAAAAAATATTCTGGTAATTATAAACTAAAGGAAACAAAATTAAGGTACCTACTAGTAATATATAGGTTTAGTTCTTGTTTGTGTGTTTTTTGTTTTATTTTTCTCAAGTTTGGTTTTAAAATAGCAAATACTTTTTTTTTCAGAAGAAAAAAAAAACAACTTATTTTTTATACCATATGGACTTGACCTGATTCACCTGACCTGAAGGATAGAATAGTAGGTTCCATAAAAAACGTCCTACTCTAGGTATGATATATGATATGTGAAAATATGGAGATGAAATTACCTTGAGTTTTTTTCCCAGCTCAATATAGATACAGTATTGGTTTAAATATTTAATAGTTGAAGTTAAAATTAATTGCATGAATCTGTAACACTTTACTTAAAATTATTAATACATGTTAAAAATATAATATTGTAAGTAATATTAATATACTGTAATTTAATTATAACTAATGGCAATTTAATGGGTTTTGAGAAACATATTGGTGTATCAGAAAGAAAAACACTTAAAACTGTTTTCCATTAACTAGTAATCCATGGTTTAACTGAAGGAGCCTAACCAGTCCGACGATAATGCCGACGAGCAGACTATACACATAATTAGAGCTCCTGTCATCGCCATCATAATACAGTAACAGACATCAGTAAGAGCATAATTCAAGTAGGTTGTACAGCCCTGCAAAAACCTACAAGACACCAATTTGTACACCTACAAATATGCCTTCAATTTACAACACGCTAAGCTAACATCACACGCAATTGCAACCCTGCACGTTTTGATATGCAAACCATTTTGTACTAATCAGCCCCCTCCTTGTTCAATCAACGCTGGAGATTGTGGTACGTACAAGGACATGTGTACGTACAATCTGGACAACAACTGTGACAGCAAACAATGCAACAGTAAGGTCCAACATGACCTAAGGATTTGGATATGAGAGATAAAATACCTAAAATATGTAGCATGGTTTATCAATTTAACTGTTATTTGTCAAAAAAATTTAAGTAATAGTATCCATACTCTAAATTACTTTACATAACTTAATTAATTGATTTATTAGATAACAAGACTCTTCTTGTGTTAAACATAAAATATCACCTGACAGAACATTCTTTCCTATATTTTTTTTTTCGTTTACTCAAACTTTTCACTTTTAATCATACAGTTTTAATGATTATCGTTGTCACTATCATCCTTCCCATTTGAATTGTTATCACCATTGTTGTCGTCCTTGTTTTTATCATCAATTTTTTAACCTCTTTATTATTATTGCTGAACATCTCTTTTTCATCAATGTTTTTATCACCATCCTTCTTATATTCATCATGTCAATTATCTTTTACTCAAAGGATACTTAGTTTCCTTCTTATCTTATCACTTCTTCACTTACTCTTCATTTCATCCTACACTTCAATCTCCAAATAATTATTTAACTTTGTGTTAAAAGATTGAAGATTGATTGATTCTTATAAAAAAGTGGTCTTGAATTAGCAGGGTCTCTAATTGGAAGTTGTGTATTTGTATTTTTAATTATCTATTTGGCAAAGTATAGTAAAATTGGAAAAACCACATAACAATATAAAACAGAAAACCACATTTTTTCTCACCGGTCATTGGGGCAAGAAGTATGTCCTATAATGATTGACCTGTCCGTGTAGTGTAGCTTAAGTATAGTAATTAACGTATTTCTGTGTTTATCATGCTTAGGAACAAAACCATTTTCCATGTATGCATGTATACAAGTACAATACAGCTGCTTGACAGGACAGAATAATAATTATTGGTATACCGTAGGTCTGGTATTAACTACTGCAATCAATTCCCTATTCTAAATGTTTAGTTTCTAAGATATAAATCATATCAGTAGTTGTTGTATCAAAACTGTCAATGACATTGGGTAATAGATGGATGTGTTAGTATGTTTAGTAAACACATCTATCTACCTTATGTCCATGTAATTATGGTGTCCATGTAATTATGTATGAACATTCGTTCATCCAATGAGTATGAAGACCTCCATAATATATTTTTACCTACAGTTTCCTATCATTAATGAGATTAAAATGATTTATTCTCTTCTTAGAACTTTCAATGGGCCATCATATGGGGTGGGGGAGGGGTAAAGCCGACCAGGCTTCGAAAGTGTAGGAGTATAACAGGAGGGGTAGAAATAGGGTTGAATGATAGGTCTACCATTTTTGTTATTTTGTCATTTTCATCATAATCATCAACTCAATGTCAACTTTTTTCTATGTTGTTGCATAGTTTATTAGGCTTTATTATGTTCTGCAGATGTACTTGCGTGTTTTACAAGGAATCTTTTTGTTGTTTTTCTTTTTGCCAGACTTTCACTTAAGAAAATCAACTGAATTGCAATTTGAATGCATGCGTATGTAATACACAATGCAATAGGATCTTAGACGAGCAGTAAAAATGTGCTACCGCAGCCTAAGGGGGTGTACAGAAATCTTGGTCACTGGGGGATTCTGCTAAATAATAGAACAAAGAAGGAGGCAGCTAATAGCTATAATTCTGCCTGTACTCTGACGTCAGTGAATAAGATGGAATATATTGTAGTCATTACAGTAAAGTAAACATGCTTTACTATTTATAATTAAAGAATAATATAGAAGCAGTCTTCATGTTAGCAATCTAACATAGTTAATGTGTTCACAGTAATTCTAAATTCTGAATCAATACAGTTTTTCAAGTACCTGACAAGACAGAATACAGTAAACTCTGAAATCAGTTATAAATCTGGAAAAAAAATCATACCAGAGGAAAATCCTGGACATGCTTTTTTGACAGAGTTTAATAAATATGCATTACAGTTTCAGCTAAATCAGATATACATTAAGAAGCACCATATAAATTCTTGAAACACTGGATTTTAATCATATTCTGTAGTAGTTGGAAAAAAAGTAGGAAAAAATTCAATATTTACTTTGCAGATAGTCTTGCACTTCAGTAGGTAGCTTAGTAAATCCACGTAAAAGTAGTTGGTCCCAAATCCAGGTAAATATGCTTTCAACTCCTCCCTTGAGGTCTCGCTTCGTGGCCCGGACTGGATGTTTGAGATTCCTGTCAGCAGTATAATGTTGAGGAGAAGTAGGTTTGTAGTGAAGCGCTCAAGTACAGTAATGTACTCTGTGGTTAAAACAGTTGAAGATGTGATAAGTGAAGTGTACCAGTACTGTACGAAAATCACAGGAGGTGGTGGACTCAACCACTATTTTAATGGGGATTTGGCTAGTTCTTAATTAAATCTAGTATACTTCATACGTGTCAATTATTTAGACAATTGATATCTGTTATTTCTTTTGCTAAATTACAACTTCAGATAGTTTTACAAATTTTAAATGTATCTTTTGGAAAAATGCAATTGCTGTAGGAATTTATATTCACACCAGGGGTTAACTAATTGATGATTCCATGCTGTGATCAGTACTTTCGGTCCACTTTAAAACCGGTTTAAAAGCACTCCCTCTGACATTGATACTGCAATATGAAAACAATTTTTATATCTTGTCATATCATCCTCTTTAGTAGAAGTGACTGATGGAGATCAAGCACCCTTATAATAAATATGGACTCTTGAATATGTTAAGTCAAAGTGGTTGTTCATACGTTTAAATCAAAGAGTACTGTAAGTCATCATGGAAAAAATATCAAAGTATATTAAAAATTAAAACTAAACTAAACAAAATCCTTAGACCACATGTTTTAATTCATAATTATATCATTTAATAAATGTCCATATGAGTATTGACATGGGGATGGAATTGGGAAGGGCACAATGGGAAAATAAGGGAAATTAATACCTTTAAGGTGATTTTAACCACCCAAGTAAATTTCTTTGATTAGTATGTATCCAGTGGGTGAAGAGGGCACCTTGTGGTACAGGCACCTTGGGGTACAAGCACCCCCTCCCTCGTATGCTACTATATCTAATTAAATAGTTGAATCCATTTTTACTAGTATTTTATTAATGTTTTTCAGTAAACTCTCAAAAAGAAGTGGTATATTCTTACTATGTGATTCAAATGTTTATATTGTATTATTGCAATAAAATGATCAGCATATTTTGTTTAGTTTAAACGTAAATAAAGTAATTGTTTTCAATGCCTGTCTTATGGTGACAAGAAGGAAAAACAAAGGAATGGCTCATTCTATCATTTTATTTTTCAAAATTTTACAACTTTTACAATGTTTGCTGAGGTACTAACAGAAAAAAATTGGCCTACATAGCAAACTATATAGTGATGTACTGTATTTACATTTCCTCTTCTGTGAGCGTCTCTTAATTAAAAGTGATGAGAATGCGAATTTAAAATGCAACTGAATCAACAAAATGAAAAACAGGTGCAAGTATAATTATGATTTCACACTTCCTTTGAAAACACAAGAATCCTTCTTCTTTTTCATTTGCATTAAATTACATTCAACCACTTGGACAAAAGTTCATATAATGAACTTGATAGGAAGTTACAGAACACTATTTTTTGTTTTGTTCCTTAATTCATAGGAACTCCAGTTTAGGGGGCATAAGTGATTTCAAGATGGGTAAGCCATTACAATGGAAGGGGAAATCACAGGATGGGCCAAGACGTCTCAGTCGATGCTTTATTTTTGAGGAATTAGTTGATTACTGAGGAGGCACATATCCCAAGGCCTTGGGCAGATGCAGGGGGAGGTGCAGACAGTGCGATCACACCCCCCTGAATTGTATTAAGAAAAACAATTGTATTGTATTGTTGATATGAATTACTGGTAAGATTTTTAAGGAGAGTGCAATTTGCTGGCACCTAGAGGTCCATATTCTCCAGATTTTGACACCTCAGCCCCACCATGGTGGTTTAGACACTCACGCACCCCCTACTGCCAAATCCTGCACTGCCCTAGCTGCCACATCTGTTAAACTTTTAGGGTACTAAAAGTATGAAACAACTCAGAAATTGATGAATTTATTGTGAGTATTTTTCAATCTTCAGATGTTCATCTTGAGCTATGAGCCCAAACTGACCATTACTTATAAATATATCAGTCAATAGAAATTCCACTGTTCTTTTAATATTATACACATATTACAAACATTTGTTAAAAGCAATAAATCATAACATTTCACATTTCTAAACATAAGATTGCTTATATACATTTCCTGGTGCAAATTGTAAGGCATTAAGAAAGCACTGATGGGAAATCACATCACATTTTCCATTCAATACAGATTTAATAAGAAAAATGTGTGAAAATTTGATCAAGAAACATATCTACAGTAGGCCTATATTACTACAGTAGGCCTATATCATTAAAATAACTACTTTATACCTAATGAAAGAGGAGTGATGCCCCCGGGTGGGTCTACATTAGCTTTATTATTTTAACTATCGTGTTTACAACTTTCTGTAGTTAAAAACTAGGTAGCTTTTTAGTTGATGAAATTACTATGTTTTAGAATACTTCAGTGAAAAGATTAATTTAAGAAAAACAAGTTTTATGAGTGGCATTAGGTAAGAAGAGTGGGACACCAATGTAACAAAATAATATTAAAATATAACAGCAACCTTTTTTTTTCATTGTCTTCTTACCTATTATTGAGAACATAGAGACCTCGTTCATTTGCCTATATAAATCCATCTATAATCATTATTATTAATGTGTCAGTCGTATGAGTTGAAACTTTTAGGTATTCCTATGTAGTACTTGTTCTATGTCAACCTACTACTAACCTTTTATACTCAGGTATGGAAGAACAGCAATATATCAGACGTTTTGTTTATACAGTTCTACCAGTAATTCATGATAATGGCCATAACATTCAACTGTATCTACCACAGCCAGCGAGAGTAATTCAATTTCAGCTCTCAATTTTCTCTAGCTTGCGAAACTGTTTGGTTAAATTTACTGTTGATTTTATCATTTCTACGCTCTTGTACCTCTTGTTGATCTGAATGGTTATTAATTTAATGGGACAGAAAAAGTGAAATACTTTGTTGTTCTTCCAAAGATGAATATAATGAGCACCATAAATCAGTAGGCCTATTTAGATTTAAATTCAGATCTACAGTACTTGAGATTTGGTAAAAATTTCCAAAAGTGATTTTGTGAGAGCAGGACTTTTTCTCACAACTAAAAACAACTCCAAACTCCATTCCCTTAAGGAGACTTGGTTTATAAAGCATCATTTATCCTGAAATTTGTGAGCAACTTACTGTTGGATGTGAATAAAACAAAAAATAAAAATTCTAAAAACATTTAAAAAAATATTAACAAATAATAAAAATAATTAATTGGTGGAAAATTACATCAATATTTTATCCCTAAAACCAGACATTCCTTTATTTATCAAAAGGTATATTTTTTTCTTATGCTAAAAAGAATGCAATAATAATAAAGCACAGCTTAAAAACAGTTGAAAATAATTCTCTGTTTAGCTATTCAATTGTTGTATAAATGACCTTACAGCCAAGTGCTGTGAAAACACTGTCTCTAATCACAACACAATACATCAATAGATTTCACGCTTTTCAATGTTTATCTACAGAATGAACGTAATTCAATTATTTTAGTCAACAAAATCCAACACCAAATTTGATTGAGATACATGTTAAGTCACATACTATGCAGGACATTATCCTCAAATTAATCCCCGCTTTAAGCAATTATAACTAGTACTTAAGCATTAATTAAGAATTTCATAGACTAATGAATTTACTTAATAATTATATTCATGGTTCATCTGACAATTGCTTACTCCATGGTGTTGGTAAAGAAATTATACGTGGTTAAGAACCAAGAAATATACCTGGGGTGGAATTATTAAAATGGTGTGAAATCTTGAATTAGAGCGGAAAGGAGCTAAAATACTTCAAATTAAATCTCTTAATGTCAATCATTTTCGCACTGACCCTAGAGAAATACACATAAATCTCTACTCAAAAAGAGGGCACTCACTAACCCTAATTAAGTTTTTTTAAAGAGAGGTAACAAGGAAGCAAATGCAGGTATTTTCAGTTAATATTTAAGACGTGGTGTTTTACAGCTTAAGGACCTGTGCTCACACAACAATTTGGGAGCCCATGGTTTGAAAGAGAGCCTGCATGGTCCTGAAAAAATTAATTGTGATTTTAATACCTAAGGGTCCTTTAAAGTCCGGGCTCCATGGTTTTACTAAGAGCTCACAAGTGTGAGGATACTAGTTTGCCTTACGATTCCAATTCACCGAAAGTGAGTGCATGGAACTTTTGATTGTGACATCACAGCTAGGCTACTGTGTTGCTATGACGAAATTGCCATTTTTTCCTAGCCCTATGCATCCCTTAAAACCTTGGGAGACTGGTCTTTCAGCGAGAATAAATTATTTTTTTAAGATTACTTTTAAATTTGTATTTATTATACTCCCACAATTTGGGCCATTTTAGGTTAATATATAGTTACCAACCAAGATGTGTTTTTGAAAGCCACCCATAGATTTTATCGTATTACACTCTTTGTGTTTTTTTTTTTTTTAGTTTTGAGGATCTTTGTGTGAACTAACCATATTATGTCTACTCAAAATCTCAATGAACCTTAGCGATTGCTGAAGCATGGCAAAACGGACACTGCATTTTGATGCAATAGTATTTTTGAAGGGTTAATGATGATTGGAAACAAGGGTTTGCCTTTTGGCAATTTACTATCAAAATAAGCTACTAGATTTTATCAAAGGTTGTATTGATAGCCCAACAAAAATAGAGACTGTCTCTGTTTGAGAAATAACTTCCGTTGAATTCATCAGTCAAGGTTTGTAGATTCATTATACAACTGATATAATTATACAGTAAATTTTAAATTTCAATACACTCACCCACAGATATGTGTGACTCAGTGACAAAAAACTAATTTGTAAGCTTTCACATACTGTAGTTAAAAATAAATTTGATTTTGATAAAATACAAATAACGGAACACAAGAATGAATAAAAAAAAGTTGCTAAGAGTAGACAAACTTTGTAGATTGCTTTTCAAGATACTATACTCATAATTGAAGCTAATTTTCATGTGGAAAAGTACAAATTCCACACCTTATAAGTTCAAGAACACATTTCTTAAGTAGAGTCAAGGCCAGTAGTAATTCAAATTCAATGATCAACTTAATTGTATATTTTA